GCTCATAAGCCTTAATTTGTGTCAGTCAAGGCAAAACCGCACTACTCTCATTTTTCTAGTCGCGAATAAGTAAAGTTAAGTTGCAAATGCGACTGTGTTGGTTGCAATTTCGAACCCTGACCATTTGATTATACATGTCTAGACATATATCTTACCTTGTTCTTGCTTGAAGCATACACTGTACTGTGACTAAAACAAGAACAAGCAACTCTTTTATAATTATGCTTTTTAGAAGAAAATGTTATGCACAGCTTGCTTTAAACCCTGGAGTATTCTGAGGTTGAGTAATTCTATTTACTTTCTAAAGAAACTGTGGAGTTGTGTCAGCAGTTTTAAAGTAAAACACTACAGTAATGCTCAAAGGTGAGTTACCACTGTCTCAGGAGATGCGTCTCGTTTCTCTCTAGATGCGTCTCATTTCCCTCAAAAAACGTCTTGTTTTTCTCAAGACCTGTCTTGTTTCACTTGAGATACAATTTTTTCACTGCAAATATATCTCTCAACTTGAAGTTGATAAGGGTAATTCCACAATAGTGAGTTTGTGAAGCTGACATTTCAAGTGCTAGTGAGAGTGCTTTATCAGCTTTAATGGGGAAATTAACAGCAACCCTTGAAAAGTCATTTCTGAAAACTTGCAACTGTGGCTAATTTGCCTTTACTAACTTCAAGTTCACAAATAACTAAATGTATGCTGAAGATGACCAATAGTTAACTTATGAGGCTGAGGTAATGACTAAAAAAATCAAAGCCAAAGTAAAGAAGTTTGCTAAGTCACTACATACATGTGCAAAGGAAAGATATCAGGCCTTGGGAGAGAAACCACCCATACTCGTCTCCGGGGCCACCTGTCCTCCTTAGCTGGCCTAGTATAGTCCGAATCTGAGCGCTTAGTAAATTATTACTAAGCAAAGCTTACAAGTGGTACCCATGCCCTTGGCATTAGAACAGCGATAACAATATCACAATTTAACAATCAGAAAGGTCAATCTTTCAGTGGATTATTAATAGTTTAAATAAAAAGCTCCATGGACATTAGCTGTTAGCATGAATGAAGGGTTCACAGTGCAGTGGATAGAATTAGTCTAGACAATTCAAATAGAAATGAAATTTATTTTTACATCAAAGACCAAAAAGACCCAAGAAGCTCAAAAACATTTAATTTCAAAATAGTTTAAAACATCTCACTTACCATGGTTTTGAATCAGACGAGAAAAATCATAAGAAGAAGTTGAAATATGTTGAGGAAGTCAGTTTACGCCACTATGCTTGCCGCCATCTTTAATTATCGGCTCAAGTCAGCGTTCATTACGACAGCGCACACTCAGTACTCCTTCACTCTGTTGGATCTTCGTTTCAAGATGTCGCTTACAGGAAGGACACTCAATATTCTTGGCCGATCTGCTATCCGTATTCGTTGCACTGGATTACAACGTTTACGTTCAGAGTATGCGGAAGGACCAGGAAACGTAAGTGTTTGATCTCTTTGATGGCAACTTGTGTTTCCTCTCTTTTTATAGGTAAGCTTATTTCAGGATCAAAGTCAATGGCATTCCCACGTCGTCATTACCGACTTCAGTGACCGTTTCAATTTTTTCCCTGTAGATTGTGGCTAATTGAAAACTTAAATGGAAATGTGTTTTTTTATTCAGAGGAACCATACTTCAAATCATACCAAAATTGTTTCTTGAAATGATACATTTCCCTCGTTCTATTTTCGACCCCCACTTCCAGACTGTACAATATGACAAGGGTCCTTTTATGGGTACCCTGCGGGCAGAGTTGCTTCGCTGTTTCCTCAAAAATAGGAAAAGTTATCGTCTTTCCTAATTTTTCTAGGAACGACCAAAGCAACTTTGCTGGCAGTGTTTATCTTTATATTTTATTGGAGACAGAGAGCTAGCAGTTAAGCGTGGTTGAACATGGAATAACTACTCTGAATAAATAATAATTAGTGAATAATTACTGTTTAACCAGTAGACAACTTAGTTTTCTGGCAAATCAAGATATGTGTTTGTGATAAATGCTGAATTATGAAAATTGTGTATTCCTGCAGTTGACTGCAGCTCTTAACATTTGACCATAGGCTTTCATAGTGCTTCTTAGAACTCTGCTAGCCCCTGCTAGCCTTATGCAGTAGTGTGTTTTTTAAATAACGTATACACTTTAAATTAGGCCCTATTCACACTACACTCAAGGCTTGAAAAAACCCCTGTGCGGTCGTCTGGGACAAGTAGATTTTCCCTTTGGGCAAGTAACTTTCTCTCCCTACTTGCCCCATGGGCAAGGACCCAGGCAAGCCGTTCACCGACTAAATTTTTGATAACGATTTTGAGAAGAAAAGGTAAATTTTAGGCTCAAGGAAATCAAGTGTTTAGATGAAGCTTGACGAAAATTACAATTTATAGCGTTGTTTTGTTGATTGCGTGATGCACACTCACAGCTCAGAAGTGGTTGCCTAGCATGTGATCAAAATCTGCGCTGATTAACTTTCTTTCCAGGATTAAAAATAGCCGCATTGGGCACGAAAATGCTCTGTTTATTTCTTAAAATTTTAGCAATTTTCTGCGAGCATTTTCCAGTTTCTCTGTACAAAACTTAACTCAACAATGATATATTAAAGCTGTAGAA